ATGCTAAAGGTTTGTCAGCATTTTCATCCATTTGCCATAGCGTTTCCGATGAGTTGCAGAACACAAAACCGCGATAACTCGTTCTTAGTCAGTTACAATTATGTACTCATGGAAGCGTTTTCCATTATTCGTGATATTCTTTGGCCTTTGTCCCTGCTTTCCACCTTTATCTATAATGTTCCGGGGTTGCGGTGTCTACGCGTATACCGCACAACAGTGACTACTTGCTCTCTCATTGGTCTAACCGTATTTGGAATAACTTATCTATACGGACATCGTTTTCGACCACTCGCTTTTGCCTTCTTTCCCTTTTCCCGTTTTCTCTTATCCTTACTAACCGTTATCGTGCCTCCATGTGCAGGACATATCCCCTAAGTAGCTGGTTATGCAAAAAAAAAAAAAAGAAGAAAACTTGCGCTGGCTCTGGTTTCAAAACTAGATCAAGACTAGATAAAAAATATAAAGCATTCTTTGCTCACATAAATATCAAGGACCAGCCTTGAATTATTGTGGCATAACAATCCTCTCAACCTCGTTCTTACCGAAGAAAAAATTTACGTTTATCAGATAAGATTGGGGGAAATATTGAAAACCTCCTTTAGAGAATATTTACGTGCTGTTGTCTTGGAAACAGTATGTTGACCAGAAAATCATATGCGTATTGGATGTCAACATTTTGTCTAATACAAGGTCTCTCTTATTACTGATGAGTAAGTAGTAAGTGCTTTACAAATGAAAATTTTAAATAACACAAAATTTCACCTTGAAGATGTTTGCGGCTACGGCTATTCTCAATTCATTTGATGGTTAACACAATATTTAAGAATTTAAGTTAAGAGGAATACGTGAACAAAAAATTGGTAACATTAACATTAGTGCACATTCCCTTAAGATTGTTAACACAAAAACTCGAAAAATATATGCGCGATATTGATGGCTTATACGACGTATAACGTATGCGAGCCAAAAAAGTAGAAGTAATTACATTACACGTTTATCTGCATAATCTGTAACGTATCACGAATAGTGTAAAAAAGAAAAAAAAAAGAATAGCACCTACACATCCGTATAGGTGTCACACAGAAAGATGAGCAAGAAATGTATTGTATCCGAACAGCTTTGCAGCTACGAATGACTTTAACAGAGCAAACGTATTTCGTTGGAAAATAAAAAGTCTTGTCTCAGTAACATGCTACGTAAGACATTCTAAGGGATCGTTCTAATACAAAATATATAAGAATATTATGAATCCATGGTGCATGTGATTGCCTTATGTGTGTTTTTTAAACTGCACACTACACAATATAACATCCATAAGTTAAGTTAGCATAACTTATTTCAAGAATAATTTGCTTAACATATCCGAAGAGTGTAATAAATAGTTTGAAGGAAAGCCTACTGATCATAGAGCACTTGGCGTTGAATAGTTCATCTTTGCTGCAAACGAGTGCATCAATTTAGTACATTTCCTGTTTATACAGTTAATCGATTTAATTTATTTTTATACCTAATCTTGGTATTTTTGTACCTACCCTGTGTGTAACTGAGAATAGTTTTGAGACGAAAAATTTCAGTTCTAAAGATAAATTTGAATGTCATAATAAATGATTTTAATTGACAGCCAGACAGACGGACATTGCTAAGATATATAATAGATAAGATTTCCGTTGCATATTTCAATCGTCTAGTATATGCAATATATAACGCCTACGACAAGTGCAACAGCAACAGCATATGTCATATCCAATAAACAGCAGCAACAGCGGAGTAGCGAGCATGTGAGGAATGCTTCTGAAGGGGACCGGGCAGCAGTTTAAATAATTAAACGCAATTAGCAAAATAACAAAGTGACAGTATAAGTGTGAGTGAGTAAGCGATGGTATGTATGTATGAAACAAAATACTAGTCATGAAAAATCAACATAGCCATAAACCAAATTAAAGAAAGAAGCCCAACGAACACCAGTAGCCATTAAATATATCTGTGTAGTAAAAATGGTAAACACGGAGAGTAAAATAAAAAAATAAAAAAAAAAACAAAGAAGAAAAAAATTATCGCAAAGTTGTGTTTGTCCCCAAGGCGGATTTTCGGAACACGCTACGCTGCACAACGTGAATACTATGAAAACCATTTAGCTTTTTTTATTAATTGTGGAAAAGGCAAAGATTGGGACTCTTTGTGTGCGCTTTCGATAAAAATTTATAATAAATTTCAAATTTTTAGCTGCTGTACGGCAATGTATAGGATTTTGGAGAGAAATTTTGCTTTTTAAACGATTTTTAGGCATTTATTCAAAGCTCCACGAAAAGGTAGTAAGAAGAGTCAAATAGATTCGCGACTTCGCGACTTGGAATAAGGAGCTGATCAAGTGTATATGTGTGTGTGTGAGGTATTTTACTTTTTTATGCGGTCTTTCCAAACGAGTCAAATTCATATCATTTCCTAACAAGTATCTAAGCATCTAAGCATCTAAGTTATATTTAGGCTTTTCATTCCAAACCATCATTCCATTTAGGATCTTGATGATATAGAGCAAAGGCAAATAGATTGCAAAGAAAGTTAAATAAAAATCGGAATCAGAAGCTGAACAGGATTACTTGATACGATACGTATGGATTCAAAAGCGCATTTATGGATGCCGTGCACCGATTTACAAACTAAGTACTATATGCGATGGTGAATATAAAAAAAAATTTTGTTTATTGCTGTTATAAAAATTCGAGGACACGCAGAGATTTAAATTTTTTTACTACACGTACTTGAAACACTCTATAAAATGTAATATGTATACACGGGCAGACATGTACACGAAAGTAGATTACAAGTTTTAGCCTCAGCGAGGGAGATTACATGTATATATGAACGTATGTATATATATATATGTATACATATATATATATATATATATGTATATCCAGGCAAACACAAATATAAACAAATCATGGTAGCTACTGTATATTTTACGACTATATTTTTAACGAAATATTGTAAAAGATTCCCATAAATATATATACATATATAGATATGGAGGGATATTCGCATACGTACATGCAAAGGGAAACAGGGGATAAGGTAAGAGAGAGGCATAGCGATGTGTGTATAAACCTAGAAATTCACGATGTCAACGTTGACATGGAGCATATTCTTTGCATGAAGCAAAGAGATATTGAAAGGCGCGCAAATGTTTACAGAGTAAAATTTCCGTGAAATTTTTAAGCCACTTAATTGTACTAGGAGTTGTTCATGTTGCAAAAATTGAAATTAAAAATCGACTTTCACCTCAAGTTGATGCACTCTTCGGAGAATTTGTTCTTTTCTAATAAAAGATAAGAAAATGCACTATTTACAGTTTGCCTACTAATAAGAAAAATAAAAATAGTTTACATCTATTATACGTAAATAGTGCTATATGCACAAGTTTTGCACCTTTAAATGGATATATGTAAGGATCATATCGTGTACTGAGCATTCGTTACATATAACAATGAAAGTAACACAAGTCATTTATATGATCTGCCAAAAATACGTGACATATAATATAATTTTATGTCGATGTCTTTACATATGAGCGGTTAATAATAAAATTGACGAAAGGGGTTTTTTTTATTTATTTATTTTTTTTAATATCGATAGCTAGCAAAGTTTTGAAGGCTTTATGTCAAAAAATTGCTGCATATAAGGCATTAGCAATTTTCAAAGGTTTTATACCTTCCACCGAAATTGCTTTACATAAAAGTCGTTCTGTATTCTTGTATCGATGTCTATAAGGTTTTTACACTCTTTACCGAAACCGTATTACATAAGAGGCACTAGTAGTAAGAATGTTGTTGCGGCGAAAATATATAATACACATAAGCCCTTAATAAAGAGGATGACCCAAGTCGATATGTACGACAATTTTGTACTCCTTACGGAAAATATATATGTTGAATGTAAGTTGTTAGTAATGAAATTTTCCAGACCCAACTCTGTTGTTAATCGATATATATATATATGTATATAAGGGTTTTGTACTCTGAATGTGTAGATTTACCCGATTTGTCATTTGCTGTAACTGTATGCACCAATCCATTCAAATTATATCGCACAGCAGCTGCTTTATCGATGCTGTGCATCGATTAGTTAAACTAAACCTCATTGCTTGAATAGATCGAATAGTGAACGAAAATGAGGTAAATAGACGACACAGGAGGCCTTCATATTATTGCAATGATGTATGCAATGATTATTTTAAATATATTTTTATTGTTGTATTTCTATCAAAATAAGCTGCGTGTATGCATGCGTGTGTTATTACTGTAAAATACATGCTTTAAAGTTTCAATAATAATGTGATTCAAGACTTTAAAGTGTGCCAAGTACTATATACGAAGCGAACTAGATTCGAGAGCTCGAAAGTGTATAAAGCTTAATTACATGACATTCGGTATGACAACAGCTTATCTCATCAGCATCAATTACAACTAAAATAAGAATATTTTTATATGAAATTTTATACGAGTTTCCCCTCCCCCCCAAACAGGAAACGATACCGAAGTAATTTCTCTTCGCCTCATGAATAACGATACTTTACTGGGAAATATCTTGGCTACAAAGCACTTTCCCCCTTCTCTCCTACCCAGTCTCTCTCTAGCAAATCTTTCTTTATCTCGCTCTCCCCTCACTTATGCGTCTTTTGTGTTCATCACTCTAGATGTGTACGAATATTCGGCTGTATATGTAATTAAGTGAAAATTTCATTTACATCTATATATACTCAATATATTGTCATTTTCAGTTAGTTTTGCTAGATATTTCTTAACATATTTAAATAAGATTTAATGAGATTCTCACAAAACGCTTAGCACATCCGATAGATGTTAAAAGCAACTTGTAATTTAAAATGGAAAACTCTATCTAGTATATATGCATACATATTTGGTTACTTGTTTCGTAAATAAAATACTTAAGTGCAATATTTATTTTTCGCTTTATGATAAGAAAGTTTATTTAACGCACAACTAAGCAAATGTATACATTTAGATAAATAAAATTCATAAAATAATGTACATTTTCAATGTAAGAATAAAATTTTTGCAAAATTGCTTGCTTACGCAAATCACCAGCACCAGTTGTTGTAGCACTATATACCACGAATTGCGAGCGGTTAACTTGAAAGCAATCAGATAACTATCTTCTTCAACCGATCTATTTATCTTATATATAGTATAGTAGTAAGTTGCGATATATATGAAACGTTTCTCACCCAAATTGGTAGTTTTTCATATTTATTTGCTGTAAACAGATATTTTATATTTTTTGCGTTAGGTTTTGAAACCAAAGATTCATTGACACTTAAGGAAAAATCTCAAAGAAACTTGCATCTCATCGAAGTGGTTATCTTATTTATTGCTATGCAGACATTTCGTAGTTGGTGGCAATCGTTTGCAATTTTCTTAACCATATACGTACTTCAAGATAACTACTAAGCTGTATATATGTTTTGTGAGTTAATATATTTTTGAAAAAAATCATTTATTTATTTTTTTCTCTTTTACATAGACTCTGCTTATAACTACTAGTGTAGGAATTTTTTGCACACAATTTCAGTGCTTACAGCCAGAGAAGTGTAATCGTTGCTGAAATCTTTCGACCGATTATCTGTTACTAACAATGTTGATAAGCCTTTGATTTCTTTGCAAGAGAATTTTAAATGATATTTGGTGGAAAAAATATATATTCGACTAATAATTTTAAGGCAAAATTTACGTCACTCAACGAGACATGCTTACCATTTACAACGCTTATATCCAGCCAGATTTGGTATATAAGACGTACGCGCGACGATCTCCATAGTTTGCTCAGAAACTCTCAGACACGTACAAGGAAAGGCTCCGACGCTCATGGGCGACAAGAATGTGTGACCATCAGCGGAATGTGGATTCTTTCGGGGTAAGATAGGAGCACTATTAAGCCCTTTAACATGACTACACGACTTCCTCAGCGGTCTCTTTCACTCGTCTTGGAATTGCCTGAATATTATTCGATACACCACTGCGACGTCTTCCTTAGCAGTACTCCCCGCTTTTGAAATAACCCAGCTGGTTTTTTCCGCCGTACCTCCTTCCTCCTTCCTAGCCGCCATTATGCCCGAACGTAAAGGACGTCCCCTGCGTGGCTATTAATATATAAAAAAAGATTATAAAATCGAACGCAGTCGACATTTCTTTTTTCCAATTAATAAATGAAAACTTGAAGCGAACGAATATTTCAAGTATGAGTTCTTGCCCTGAAGTATCTTTATCACTTTTTTTTCATCAAAAATGATTAATCTGGATAAAACACAATGCAAGATGCCACTAAACCAAGATACAGATGGAATAAAAAAAAATATGATGAGCCTATTTCCCTTAGCAAGACTATTCGAATCGATGGTTGGAAATTCTGCGACTTGTAGACAAATTCCGGTGTCATGTTTAAATAAATCGTTCGTGATCGTCTCGGCTTTTAGATGTAGAAGAAACGGGAAAAGGGAAACGTGAAACAGAAGAAGGAAGTTATGACAAAAAAAGTCTATTCAAGGAGTATGACAATCGGAAATTTGCCATATTTATCGTAAAGCAAACTTTTCCTACCTGTCCGCTTAAAATTCATTGCGAGCGTATTATTTGGTCAGTCAATCTCTCTACATCTCTCTGCTAATCCGTGAACTATTCACTGCAGTAGATAACAAGCAATACAAGAAAAGCATGTGCAACAATATATTTACATTACGAAAGATTGGATGGACTCACTTTCGAATTTCATTACGATTGCAGCTATAAAGCAGGAAAATATTATCTGCATAGGCAGACAATTTATAGTCATCGCTGTTTCGTCCCAAATTCGATCACACAGCAGCCGTGTAATGGTTTTTTTTTTTAAGTCCATGTATATGGCAGTGGCTTCGGTTCCAGGGATCCTTTACGTCCTATGCAGATTTTCCAGATTCAGTCAATATACCTTTCATTGATCTTTATTAAGAAATATTAATAATGCAAGATTTTTCTGATATAACTTTTTTTTTAAAAAAACTAGACTACATCAGATCGATAAATAGACGGACGGACATGCTTAAATCAATTCAGAAAGTGACTTTTTATTTAAATGATTATCTCTCTCTTTAGAAATGTGGCTGAGGTGGTTGGTACAGCAAAAAAGTTTCTGGGTGTTGTTTACGTCGTTGTTGAGTCAAATTGTACCAATGTAACAAGTTTCACGCAATTATTTTGAAAACTACTCTCTGCTGGTTGAACGCAAAACTACGTGTACAAACCGCATAGAGATAGACGGACAGACAAGCTCAAATCGATTGAGAAAATCGTTTTGCGAAAGGATTCTGTGTCGATTGTTCCAATGAAAATTGCATCTATCTCAAGTCCTCTACTGGATGCTGGCGCTGGATACGTACACGCAACAATAAGAGTGCTTGATAAGTTACGACAAGAAGAGGAAGTATTCACAATGGCAATGGACTGTTTGTAATACGATGCCGCCTAAATGAGTAAACTCCCACTTTGAGGGCTCAGCAGATAGAATTTTTGTTTATTGAATAAAGAACATTTAAAGGAGTTAGTTAAATACTAGAGAATGACGCACCAGGAAAGTATAGGTAATCTCCTAACTGAATATGCTAGAATAGCTAAAAATATCCAGAAAAAGTTTCCCTATTAATACTGCATTCTCTCAACTGAAAAGAAAAGCAAACGCAAGTTTTTTTTTTAATCCATTTTAAAGTTGTAAGCATAGCAATGACTTAAGTAGGAAAAGAGAAAGGAAAAAAAAGTTTTAAAATTAAGTTTAATCCACAATTTAAACATAAATAATGTATCTCTTATTTTTCTCAATTTATTTCCGTCCTTTTCTGTTTAATTTGTCCAACTGTCTTGTTATATATATGTTATATATATACATATATATATATATATATAACATTTATCTATTTTTGTCAGTCTCTCCATCAACGTTATAACAACTGCTATGTGTTTTGTTTTCAGTGAAACGTGTGTGGGTTTATATATATATATATATATTTACTATGCATATACATATATTATGTATATATATTTATGTTTATTGTTCTTGTTCACAAAACTCATGTTTGTTTATTAGTTTAAATACATTTTCATAGCACTCATTATTGTAGCTCTTGTAGAACAGTAGCACTTGTACTTTTCACTTTTACCCCGACTGCGTCCTACCCAACAACACTAATGTCCGGCAAGCCGGCATCAAGCATACAAGATGAATTTGTTTAAGTGTAACTGTACGTGCAATTGTTTATTTTATAAGCAAATTTGTTTAAAGCACTTGAATTTTATTACTTCACCATAACAACATAACAACAAAAATTGAAATTAAATAGATTTTAAGTATAAGAGATAAGAGAGAGAATTGTTAAAGAATTCATTAGAAAAAAAAATTTAAATAATATTTCACGTCTTTAGACGAAAGTTTACTTAAATAGTTTTCTCAAGTTTTCTTACTTTGCTTTTTTCATTTTTACGCTTGAAAAGATTTTGCTTTACTACTTGTATTGTTAAGAAGATGCCTTGCCGTGCCTTGCCTTACCTCAACCAACGCTGGCGATAACTTTGTCATTGAGTTTGATATGTTTTAGCAAAAATATGCTGCAATTCTAACTAAGTACTTCTCGTCAGGTATGTTTCTGTTCGTTATTCTCGTCATTACAAAAGCAAGTTTTACAATCAAGATAGGCTTAGCTCCGCTTAAATATGTATTTATATATATTCAGTATTCATAATCATTTGAATAAAAAGTTAAAAAACTTTCGCTGCTCTCCTATATTAAGCAAACTATTAAAACTTACCACAAAGGGATTATTTCCGCTCAGGAAGAGTAATTTTGTTTACATTGTACCTAAAAAAAGAATTCAAAAAATGTCAATTGTAGCTCTCCGCGATTTCGACGTTTTTGATTCGAAAAAAAGTAAAAATAATAGTAATTCGACGACATTCGCGAAACTGTTGACCAAAACCGTGTTATATAAATCCTGATGTTCTTCCTTCCTTCCATCTAGCAAGAGGTGTTCTTAGGTGTTTAATAGCTGAAGCCGCAATAACACTATCCCAAGTTGTTCTTAAAGAAAATTGTATCCCTTCTAATAAGAAGAAATATTGTTAGGTGTTTAATAGCTGAAGCCGCAATAACAATATCCCGAGTTGTTCTACGAGATAAGTTATAATATATCCTCTAAGCTTACGGAGTAAAATGTTCCTTCCGTCTGTAAGAGACAGATTCGCACATTTCATTCTTTGCCTGTTGCGAAATGATGGAAAATGCAGCAAGAGAATATCTCTTAGAATTCTATAGACGAATTCATAACTAACTTCAAAAAATTTATCCCAAACCCTTAATGTTTCGCTAGAACTCTCATACTTATACCTACTCAAGGGTCTCCTTTATGCACCTATACTATGATTTATTTTTTTTTTTTTTGGAAATGGTATGAAGATATCCGTTTGCCTATTAGGAGAGCCAGTATCAACAAGCAGACATCAGGCTACCACTTCCTAATCGAAACTTATTTAATACAGCTTTTCTTGACTTAACCAAGGAACAATTTTTGGGGGCAGTGAATATTCTCCCATATATTCTAAAAAGTTCGTTCAAAGTATCTAAAGGCTCATCAAATCTGTAATGAAGACTAAAGAGTAGAACAACATGTTAATGTGCATTTTTTTTTTTTTTTTTTTTATATATAAATATTGGTTTATACCATTTTTGTGTAAAAATGATTTCATGTTTCGTTCATGTTTAATTTCCATTCCACAAGTTACACCCAAATGTTATTTTAATTTTTGCACATGCAAAAGATCAAATGTGTTTTGCTTTGCATCAAAAGGAAAATAATTCTCATTTATGAACTCATTTAACCGAATGTAAGTTTCATCCTGCATGCACTACTAACACTAACCGTAACCAGGGCTTTATTGTTTTCGTAATAAGTTTTAACAATTTCTATACTTTGTACAGCCACAGATGTATTGTATTCAACAAATAATGGGAAGACTTAGACAATATATTGAAAAAAAAAAAAAAATTGGATCTAAATCTCAATTGAAAGTGTGTTTTATTCCTCTTTACTTAGGGAGCCACAAAACAATAAAAAAAAAAGTTTTTTTTCTCGAAAGTGTTTAGTAGAGTTATTGTTTAAGAGAGAGAATAATTTCGGGTTTCGTTGAAGTTCGCCTTAGCTGCACGCTCATTGAAAAACATATATCGTTTACTCAAATTCTGTGTTAGGTTTCTCGAATCGAGACCGTATCAGATCATCGTCTGCTGTTCATTACAAACTATCGTTCGTTATATTTCAAAATGAGCTGTGGGCGTGTCGCGAGCATTTCTGCACAGATTTTCACAAACTTACTACACTTTGGCAGACGGCCATGAATAAATTGACTGACGTTAGTCTAAACAATATACACCTGATTAGACTTCTGACATACATTGCTAGTCTTCCACAAAGACTGACAAAACTTTCGTGCTTCGGTAGTAAGAAATACTTAACTAAAAAATATGTTTTAAGAAAAAGAAGACTAGAGTAGCAATGGCTTGCTTTTTAATGCCGTACACTCCGGAATGGAGTTTGTGCGTATGTATGCAACATCTAGGCAGAATTAAAAGAGAAATCATTTTTATTCAAAAGTATGAGCACAGTCTAGTTAAGCGGGTATGTTCGTTTGTCCGTCTATCTAGCTGATGCTTGCCCACGCACTTGTTTTTGTAAAGTGGACAGGTCGCATTTCTCGAATGACATCCGAGTGAAACTTACGTTGCAAAAGGTTTAGATTCGATCATTTCTACGATCACTCTCTATACAAAGCGCTGGCTTTCAATATTTCGTCATAAAAAAAATTTCCAATTTTTAATATTTCTCGACAAACACCGACGAAATGCATGTGGGATGTGGAAAATTTGGCAGAGATGCATTATTCTTTAAAACCATTCCCTACATAAAGGTTAAAGAATATTCTTTTATAAGACGATAGAGAATAATTTTTATTATTTTATTATAAAAAATTGTCTAAGAAACTTGCTTGATTAAATTTAAACCACATATGTGTACTTTTCGGACTGTTTCTCATGCTTCTCATGGGGCACGTTTTTACACGAAAACAAAATTAAATTTTTAATACTTTATGACCGATATCAAGGAAGAATGGTATCTAACAAAATATTTTACGGTGCTTAATAGTTGGCACTGCCCGACTCTAACATCTTAAATTGTTCTTTATTACAAAATGTACACTCTCATCCTTTGTTGCGCATTTTCCACATTGCAGATGGATCCCCATACAAATGACTTACGTGATTACAAATTTTTTTCATTTATAACCACCTGATAGAAGCTCTATTGAAGAGTGCAGGTGAACATGATTGTTCTACATGGAAAGTAAAATCGAAAATAATAACACTCGAAGTCTTTCAATAGTTGATAGTTGAATGATTTAACGGATACTACGATAAACGACACCTTGCTAAACGTCTGCGCCACGATACGATAAACAAGTCATCAGCTTTGCGTGAATTATGGATAAATTTCAAGGATTCCTTTTAATTATAAGTACATTAATGAGTTGATAGAGATACCTTTGCAGAACACTGTTTGCTCTTCTTTTACATTAGTTTATTGGCATAAAAAAAAAATTCTGTTGTTTTTTTTTTTCAAATTCGCTGGTATATCAAGTTTTGAACTTTATATAGTACATAATTAAGTTAGAAATATGAATGTAACAGTGAGAATTTGAATAATGTGCTGTGGAGAGAGAGAGAGAGAGGAACTTTTAAACTATGTGAACCGTAAGGTACTTAACGCATTACAATAATTAAAATACAGCAATGATAGCAAGGGAAGAAAAAAGAAACGGACGAATGAAGCTGTAATGGAGACGAACTTAAAGGAGATAAGTATTAGTTGAAAATCAAACTTTGTAAAGTCGAGTCAGAGATAGATATTTAAACTGTTGGCTTTCACTTTTCTCACAA